TATAATTAATGCAACTAGTACAGTAATACTGTACTAGTCTACCGATATCGTACCTGTACAGCTGTACCGGTACGTACCGTAACGGACTACGGTACCGGTATCGGTAAGACGGTACGTAAACCTGTAAACGGTACCGGTACGTGCCGTACAGGCCACAGGGACTGTCATAGCTTTCCCAGCTATCGTACCGGTACCGGTATCACTTTCGCTTAACACGGGAACCACAGTCTACAAATACTGAAATATATGGAAAGTGAACATTGATTGATTGAACACGAAGCGAAACAGTACCGGTAGTTTAACTTAACCTCAAAAACCTTTCATTGCGGGTACCGGTAACCCCAAACATCTCGATTCCCCATAAACAACTCTTAGCGGAGCAAGAATTACGATCGCTTCTCAGTTGATATGCCTTCGCGCAATCGCCACAAGGTGTCACTATTTTTTGTTCTGATCACTTCTTTGAACACAAAAAACGAATCTCTCGAAGTCCACAGGAAATTTTTAAATAAATAAAAGTAATAGCCTTCTGGAGAAAAATTTTATCTTCAACCACTGAAAATTTCAAAGCAATTGGTCCAGTATTCGAAGAGAAAAGCGACTTTTTAAAAACGTGTCAAAGAACAAGAACAAGAACAACAACAACATAATATTGAAACGATCGTTATGTCCACTTCGTGTCCAACAATCGACTTTCATTGTACTAAAATAGATTTTACGTCGTGAGATAATAACGGTTATATCTTAAAAATAATCCGAGTGGCAGCATTGCGATTGAACGGATCGGAGTTACAAGTACAGATTTCTCTAATCCGCAAAATGGCAAAAATACGGATTCCTAATGGCGATAACGAATTAACAAGATTGCAAAGATACCTATCAAAATAAAATATAATTAGACAGTTTAGCTCTATACCCTATATATAGGTCTGATAGGTACCGACATGGGTGCAGTCAAAATTTTCGGTGAAATTAAAACATAGCACCCAAATTCACGACGACGTAAGGAGTTTAATAAACTGAAAAGAATGCGTTGTTCACAGCGAAATTACACGGTTTCATGTAGCCCGCCTCTCTTTGCCTGGCGGTTTATGGTTAATATTTTGCAGGTACTATTTCAAATTTCGACCATTAATCCGTAGTCAGCAGTACCCGCATTTGAAAATAGAACATTAGAAATCGTGAAAATTAATTTTGGAGAGAAGTATAAGTCGCGGATGTCAGAGCGTCAAAATCGTTTATAAGTACAAAAACACGCTCGCATGTAGCGCCAATCAAATGCATTAAATGTGAAACTATTACTTGGATTTAAATGGTAACCAAGTTGATTTTTAATTGCCATTCAATGATAATTACCATGCGCCGTAATTAGTGGCGGGCAAATAGTTTTTTTTAGTTGAATTATTCGGATATTTTCAACGAACACGACACCAAAAAATGAGTATTGTCATTTCTAACAACCGTAATTGGGATGTCGACCGCCAAAACCATCGCTGTTTCAATTTTATTTTTCGGAATTTACTTGAAGACTGAAAACTTCGCAACAATTTTTTGTTCCATAATGTTGTCATAATCCAAGGCCGCCGTAATATTTTTGTCACCGCGATCCTTTCGGCGGCTTGACATCCCAATTAATGATGATAAACTTTAAAGCACTTTTTAATCACTAGTAAATATTATTTCTCATGCAACGGCGTATATCGAAGTGTTTTCTCTTCATACATTTCGTCCAGGGGTTTTGTCCTCATTTATCTCATTCGCCGGATATTCTGTCCACATGAATCCCGTTTATCATACATCTCATTCACCAGATATTTTGTCTATATATATTTCGTTTCGCCGGTTGTGCTTCATTAATTATCAACATGATTTTACCTGGTGGCGTTTAATCATTGTTTAAATAGTCCCTTTTTTGTTTGAACTTGCGCTAATTTGTTTACTTGTATATATTATCTTATCACCATCCCTTTAGATTAGAGTTGACGCCATGATAATTTTTTCATATTTTCCTTTTTTCTTTTTCTTGGAATATATATATCCACTTGTATTCTTTCCATATCATGCCCTGATGAAGTTTTTCTGTATAGAAATTCGAAACTTCGGCAAATAACATCGTTTTGCTAACACCGGTTGTGCTTCATTTATTATCAACATGGAGCCAACTCATCAGTCACCACAAATGGTAGCTGAATTTCATTTTAGCACTGCCCGATACGCAAGCACCGCTGTACAAGAAGCTTGTGCTTTGTCCGACGCAAATCGCCTCATGCTCATCGAATGATTGTTATTTCTACCCATGTACCAGCTAAATTGGCCAATATTTTTATTTCGGAATTTTGCGGTTTTTAGAAAAATATAGGTAATACCATCCTAAATCGCGGACATGATGTAAGGAAGCTTACCATAATAGTTTGGTAAAGACGATCCCTTTTCAAAGAAGGATGAGTCTAATACTTCCGTTGGCATTACCGGGCATGAAGGCATTGGGCTGGATTTCGGTACCTGATTCGTCATAAGAAAAATAAAAGTTTTGTCCACATATATCTCATTCGCCGAATATTTTGTCCCTATGATTCCGTTTATCATACTTCTCATTCGCAAGATATTTTGATATATATATTTCGTTTCCCTAATAAAACAGTCGCCATGATTATTCGCTCGTTAAAAAATCGATTTGTGAGTGAGACTTGTCTGTTGCGTATAATTTTCAATCCATGCTAATTAACTTAATTGTGTCTAACGCAACTCGCGTTATGACTTTTAAATACATTGCTACTCTAAATAAAACAAATGCAATATGTGTACATAAACACATAAGATAAACTGTCTAATTATATTTTATTTTGATAGGTATCGTTAACTAACGCTAACTAACCATAGTACCAAAACAATCGACCTTTTTAGCAAAATGCACGCGGTATTAGGGACAAGTGGGAAATGTGGTACAAGTGGTGTTACGTGGTACAAGTGGTACACGTGGCACAAGTGTGACACGTGGGACAAGTGTGACCCGTGGGACAAGTGGTACACGTGGTACAAGTGGTACACGTGGTACAAGTGGTACATGTGGTACAAGTGGTACACGTGGTACAAGTGGTACACATGGTACAAGTGGTACACGTGGTACAAATGGTACACGTGGTACAAGTGGTACACGTGGTACATGTAGTACAAGTGGGACAAGTGGGACACGTGGGACACGTGGGACAAGTGGGACAAGTGGGACAGGTGGTACAAGTGGGACAAGTGGTACAAGTGGTACACGTGGTACAAGTGGTACACGTGGTACAAGTGGTACACGTGGTACGAGTGGTACACGTGGTACAAGTTGTACATGTGGTACAAGTGGTACAAGTTGTACATGTGGTACAAGTGGTACAAGTGGGACACGTGGGACAAGTGGGACAAGTGGTACACGTGGTACAAGTTGTACATGTGGTACAAGTGGTACAAGTTGTACATGTGGTACAAGTGGTACAAGTTGTACATGTGGTACAAGTGGTACAAGTGGGACACGTGGGACAAGTGGGACAAGTGGGACACGTGGGACAAGTGGGACACGTGGGACACGTGGGACAAGTGGTACACGTGGTACACGTGGTACAAGTGGTACAAGTGGGACAAGTGGTACAAGTGGGACAAGTGGGGCAAGTGGGACAAGTGGGACAAGTGGTACAAGTGGTACACGTGGTACAAGTTGTACATGTGGTACGAGTGGTACAAGTGGTACAGGTGGGACAAGTGGGGCAAGTGGGACAAGTGGTACAAGTTGTACATGTGGTACGAGTGGTACAAGTGGTACAAGTGGGACAAGTGGGACAAGTGGTACAAGTGGTACAAGTGGTACAAGTTGTACATGTGGTACAAGTGGTACAAGTGGTACAAGTGGGACACGTGGGACAAGTGGGACACGTGGGACAAGTGGGACAAGTGGGACAAGTGGGACAAGTGGGACAAGTGGGACAAGTGGGACAAGTGGGACACGTGGGACAAGTGGGACACGTGGGACAAGTGGGACACGACATTTTTGAGACACCGCGATTGAACTACAACTGGGACAAGTGGTACAAGTGGGACAAGTGGGACAAGTGGGACACGTGGGACAAGTGGGACAAGTGGGACACGTGGGACAAGTGGGACACGACATTTTTGAGACACCGCGATTAAACTACAACTCCTAAGACGGAAAAATAATGATTGACTTATTTGATTAAATTAAAAGTGCGCCATTTTTCATGTTATTGCGGGTCAGATGAAAGGACGCCACGGGCCGGATCCGGCCCGCGGGCCGTAGTTTGGTGAACCCTGGTTTAGCTACAAATAACAGATAGTAAGACGAAAGTATGTTATAATAAAAAACACGTTGAAATACGTTGATGGAATGTAAATAATAAAATGAAAGGAAAGTTTTGAAATGTAAATATCCCTGTGGGACGCGCTCTACCGTTCGAGAACCACTGGTTTAGACTCACGTTTCCCAACTTCGTAAGAATTCCCTGCAGTTGTTTTAGGGAAGTAAATTTTACATCGAACTTGGTATAAATTCATTAATATTGTTCACATTTTTAATACTATTGTAATGCATGTATATGGAATGGACACATTACAAACAATTCAAATTTTGCAAAAGCCAGAGTGCGACGTACGCCTAATTGTTTGTCTATAAAAGTTAAAACAATTAACGGAATACAGTTTTACGAATAGCGGAGAAAGAATAAAGAATTTGGGAAAAATATGATAACTTGTACAGTATCATAAGAACTTTATGGTGACCGTACATTTGAACCCATGTACATTTGAACCCATGCGTATATCCACGGGTTCAATCTATATGCGGGTGCTAAAACCCATGGATTAGGGTTAGTATGGGTTTAACTATCCGTGAAACAAAAAAAATTCCATAGGTGCGATATCATACAGGTGCAATTGTCATGGGTTCAAATGTACGTGGGTTCAAATGTAATGGAACCGAACTTTATTTATTTCTGCTAAAAACTTACCGGCAAAGCACATGGGAGGTGAATCAAGAATAAATCCAAGTATTCGGTTTGCAAGTTGTTTAAGCTTCCCATAAAGCCCTTTCTCACATCTTTTGGGTCATTGAATTGTGCCCACAGCTGCATAGATGCATTGATATTATGTAAATACTACACAGTGCAAAATTCGCCTCATATTTTTCTATCTTCGTAAATTTTATGGAAGTTGATGTTTCGTTCGATAGTTGAGGGAATTTAACGCGATCCAGATGGGTTTGCTGATATTACGACACCCAAGAACACGGGCATCGCGAGGACCCCATCATCGCATCACTGGATACATTTAAATATCTAAATTGAATTAAATACAAATGCGAAGAAATCATCTAAATACCTTGCTTGTTATAAACATTTCTTCTCTTTTTACTTTTCCTTCTTTATATATTTTTTGCAAAGTATCTCCGATTTCTTTCTCATTTCCATACATCCAAGCACTGTCTATATGTCGGTATCCACATTTGATTGCAGCGCGGACAGTTGTACGGACTTTTTCTGGTGGTACCTGCCAAAGTAATGAACTCACAATTTGTATATCTACATTAATGGTCGATTCGATTTCGGCTCGAGTTACCATATATCAAAGATTCGAAGTAGCTCGAGTCTTCTGAATACTCAGACCCATACTTATTTAACCGCAAGTGAGACTTAGTGATTCGACTCGAATGACTTCGGGTTTAGGAATTTCTCTTGGACACTGGAATAGCTTGCGTTATAATTTGATCACTAAAACTCGTTGGGTTGAACGTTGGTCACATGTAGATTGGAGGAACTTATTTAGATTCAAATTATGGTGAGCTACTTAAATTTAATAACTTTCGAGGCATATTATAGAAGTTTCGCTATAATACTCATCTAAATAACACGGAAGTAGTCTATAATTTTTAGAGCTATAGGTTCATATACATTAATAGGTGTTGCTTTTCAGTTGAACAAAATATCCGAATTGGATTGGCGCCTAGCAAGTAAAATTTCGTTATGAGTCTCGTAGATATATTTAATGTATATATTTCCATTAAAGCAAATGAGTCTTGTTTAATCATCAAGATTTTTTTTATACACTTCTCAAGTGATTGTGAACCTGGTAGTCGAATATCTATACTTACATTCCCGAATCCCAATACCAAAGCTGGCATCTGATGTCCCGAGTTTAATGTTAGTTCGTACATGACAAACAACGAAACCAAGCTTTGCTGTCAAATATTATTTGTTCTTCAACTTTTCAAACTTAATCCGGACTTTCGGTTTAATGTTTTTCGTGAACAACTAAACACCTTCGTGACAGCTATATATATTTTTACAAAGTTTTTAAAGACGTATGTTATATAGAAATATAATATTATGATATAATAGAAATGTAACATATATAGAAATAACATATATGTAAACCAAATAGAACCTAAAAGGTATCAAACTAAAACCTCGAATAAATAAAAATGTATCGTAAAAAAATGAGTAAGCACGTATTTTATTCGTGATCTTATCTGACCTTCAAATTTTCCGCTTTTTTAGCGACCACCCTGTCTGTATATTTATTTAATCGCCTTCTCTAAAAATTTCATCTTATTTAACAGCGTCCTAATTTTACATTACACATTCTAGAAGAATTCTAGATATAAAATTATGAAAAATAAAGATATATATATACAATAAAATAAATATAATATTATTAATCCTGAAGTATTCTGCCCTTAGAATACAACAAATTGTATAGCAGATTCAATCATATGTAATTACTTCTGCCGAGATTCCAAAGTTTTTGGTCTTAAATCTTATATCGAAACGTTGCAGTAAATACCCATACATGGAAGGTCGAATGTACATTTATCATCGTTGCAATTTCGGCCGAATGTCATATCGTTTTCCGTATCTCCTGATCACATTATTATCGTTCTCGAAAGCCATGTTTGAAAACCTCCACTTAATATTTCACTAATTCAATTATTAGCAACAAACAAGTAATACATACTTATTTGAAAAAACACCCCGAGAAATACCGGTCCTTTTTAAAATGCTGTAATACTGAGCGATTGCGACACATTCATGATTCTGTCAGAATTTGACATCCGGAAAAGCATTTGAAGCTCAGCGAACAAGTGTTGTCATGCTTATGCATGTGGTAGTTATCATAAATTTTGCGGCATGTAACCCCAGGAAACCTGTCGCCAACGCAAGCCACACGGAATCAATGGGGGTATATACCATGCGAGATCCAAATTATGGTAAGCTACTAAAATTGAATAAGTTTCAAGGCATATTATATAAGTTTTTGCTTTAATACTCATCTAATCTAAATAACACGGGAGTAGCATCCAATTTGTAGAGCTAGGTTTAGATTTAGATACATTAGCAGATGCTGTTTTTCAGTTGAACGAATTGGATTGGCGTCCAACAAGAAAAACTTCGTTGGAAGCCTCATTGTTAGGCTAGATTTGATATCATTTCTTGAAAGTAAATGAGTCCCGTTCGACCATCAAGAACTTCTTAGACACTTCATAAGTGTTTGCAAACCTTGTAGTCCAATATCTATTTAAACTTAAAGCCCCGAATTACAATACCAAAGCTGGCATCTGTTGTCCTGTGTTTAATGTTAGTTCGTACATGACAAACAACGAACAAATATTTTTTGTTCTCCAACTATTCAAACTTAATCCTGACTGACTTCAGATTGATTTTTTCCGTGACTTATTTCCTATGATCATGGGGGGCTTCCGACTGCAAATTCAAATAGGAGAAAGTTTTACTTGTTGAAAACTATTGGTGTTGTTACGAGTTGCAATGGTAGCATTACGTTGAACAATTTAAACTGAGCTGTTTTTAAGATACAAGTGATCTCCTATACTGGTGCTTTCTAATGTCTGATTAAAATTTACCGAATTTATTTAATTCTCCAAAAAACTCCACATTTTTAACAATGTTTTGATTTTATACACAATACACACTGCGTATTTTTATGCTCAATTAAACACGGCGCTTACTAAACAATATTAAATGAACTGGAAGGTTCTTCAATGCCAAGTACTCGCTATTATCTTTTTGGCATAGTTATGTCAGACATTATCCACCGAAACTAGCCATGCGAGGAAACTTGCATAAAAGCACTTTCTCCTTGTTTGATTGCCTAATATACAACTAAAATAACGTCACAAAGTGAAAAATTGACATAAAAAATAAGTAATAGCAAAACGCATCGTTCAAATGTACATTGTTACTAATAGTTGGAGTAGATAGATAAAATGAAATATAACCTAGCAAGCTATGACATGCATACGTTCAATTTTCTGCTTATCTAATTTTTTCCTGAGTCAGCAAACATCAGATACGCCGACTTTGTATTACGTATAACAAACACACCACATGCTTAATTACATATAAAATTACGAACAAAACACTTCAGTCTATCTTCCGAAGCTTTTGGCCAGTGGTGGGATTCAAATTTTTGTCAGTCGGTTCCATCATACAAATGTCATATTTTCAGGCGGTTCTGTTACAAAAAGTCATGTAATGCTAACCGGTTCGCTGATCACATAATATTCCGTGAGACGTTTATATAGAACCGGTGCGAACCGGCTGAATCCCACTACTGCTTTTGGCCCTAATTCGTATATCAACACGTTCCCTGTTCCAAGTTTCAAAAAGAGTAAATATGCTAACATTTTGCTGATACGCTCAGCATCGCTGACAACGTGCAAGATCTTTACCACGCAAAGAATGTTGTCCTGTCCAATGGACATTAATCATCGTTTGACCACGTTTTGAGTACTGCAGCAGTTTGCGGTTGCCATGTTTAAAATAATTACTTATCGATCTTAGGATCGGTAAGTATGTTGATGTCTGTTAGAGTTAGATGAACGCGATATATTGCGAAGGCGAGGTTGAATCTGCTCCAAATTTTGCATGTGCATTCATCATATCTCGGACCAGAATCCTATTGATTTTGAATGTATTATGTCGTATAATTAGCGGGTTATTAATTAATTAGTGATGGGACACGTGGTGTCACCATTGAATCAAAGCGAAGGAATTGAAACCGCAGTTTCTGATTTGGGGGATACCTTTTTTCGTCGCTGTGAACGATTGTGTGCGCAACACTGCCCTATCTGCGATGTTGAGCGTTTAGGTATTATGGTTACTCGCCGCTTCGACTTTTTGGGATTGGTGATGACCGGTGTATTGTTCCTTGTTCTGGAATCGTTGTATTAAGCCAATTCGGATGCAATCGGAACCATCCTTCATATACTATCTTTGTATTTGACACAAACTATAGGATAGTCGACGTTCGCCATTTTCGGTGGCAAATAGGCTATTTATTGGCTGAAACCAAATCGAAACAATCAGGTTCGGGGTTGCAGAATTCTTCACCAAAATATGGCTGGGCTGTGATTGAATAGCTGCCGCAACCCCGGTTAGCGCCGTTGTATTTGACACAAATATAGGATAGTCGGCGTTAGCCATTTTCGGTGGTAAATAGGCTATTGGCTGAAAACTAGTTCGGATTTGCAGAATTCTTCATAACAGTATTTCATCGAGTAGTATTTCGACGACGACGTGGGGTGGGCTATTGTTCCCTACAAATTTTGATATAACGCGATGCCCAAGATGGATTTAAAAAGATTAGAGGTTAAAAAGAGGGACATTCTATCCGGTATTGCAAACGAATCGCGGCAAAAGCATCGAAAAGAAACTGAGATGGAGACCTTATGTCGACTTGATAAAGACTAAAGAACACATGGCGGAGGTGCGAAAATGGGAGACCATAACCGAAAAAAAATTATTGTCGCGAACAAGACAAAAAAACGGACTGCCGAGGTTCGTGCGCGCGAAACGGCTCCGGAAAGATCTGGCCCTTTTCAAGAAGGAAAAAAAAACGGAGAGTCGAGGTTTGTGCGCGCGAAACCACTCTGGAAAGATTTGGCCGTCTCGAAAAAGTAAAAAACGGACAGCCGAAGTTCGTGCGCGCGAAACGGCTCATGAAAAATCTGTCCGCCTCCAACAAGACAAAAAATGTACAGCCGGGATTCGAACAAGGAAACTATACAGGTAAAAACTGCTCGTCTAAATCGAATAAAAAAACGCGCCACGGACATTCGTCAACTTGGAGAAAATAACACAAATTTTACACATATCCAGAAATTTCATCACCATATTTCCAGTGGCGCAGATTTTCCTCGCATTTAATGCACCGTTTACAGTACAAAGTTAGTGTAGTGAAACTCAATAACACTGCTTACAAAAAAAGTAAACATGAAAATAATTGAATGCGTTCTATCGTACGAAATTAAGTCACCAGATGGAAGCGTGTACATTCGCAGAACATCGTTAAAGAATGTCAAGATACCTTGTCAATCTAAAGCGAATAATATTACGATAGCGGACCAACCAGCAGCTTTAAAATACCTGAATGTGCTAGAACTTTGTTTGATTTCACAGCAAATCCCTTTGATGAAAATTTTTGGATTTCCTCGAGGCAAGCAACGAGGAATTCACTGGCCCGCACTCAATGTTCCCTCTAAGTTACACGTCGTATGTGATCAATTTCCTCGGTTGCCGTCTGAATGTCAGTTGATTCCATTGAAGTTAATTAAAACGTAAATTGTCCTACACATCGCATTACATTTATGATTATGTGCTAATTTATAAATTGATATGTGCACAATTATATTGAACATGCTTCAGAAAATGATGAGGAATTGTGGAATTCTATGTTTATCGACGGCAACGATGACGTGCAGTTAAATTCTAATGAATCAGTCAAAAATATTCCGTAGCACCAGATATTCAAACAACGTGTCCTTCTTGCCATTCCTCTGATAGCGAGAAAAAACGTAGTTCAACAAACTCATCACCCACAAATGTTTCGTATTCGCCGACATCTACGGGTAGCGTTTTGAGTCGCAATTTATGGAACACAGCGCAAACACAGGGAAGGAAAGTAAAAAATGTTCCATCAGATGGAAATTGTGTGTTTGATGCCGTCTGGCATATCGTTGCAAACCCCAGTCGAAATACGACGTGAACTATTATTAAAATATATGCTTGAACACGCGGATGCCTGTAGAGTTTTTGTATGTATCAATGTCAGATACGAAGAACTTGATTGCTCTGACATGGAGCATCCGTCAGATTACGATTACGGCATTTCCCAAGTTAATAATCCGGTGCCTCGTCATAATCTAATGTGGCAAAATTAATTAAATAAGTTTGAGAATGGTTCACAGTGGGGCGAACATATAGTATTACAAGCTATCACCGATATGT